CTTTGTCAGTGGGATCTGTTGGAACTGGTTGTGCATGAACTGGCCTCTGCAGCTCAGCCTGTAGTTGGGTCTTTGCACCATCTGCAGCTATCATCTCCTGCGCCTGAAGATGATCCCACAGTCTCTTCAAACATGTTTTCTTACTGCCACCAGTAGCTAGTCCTAGACTCTCACATGCCGTACGCAAAGTTTTCAACGTGGTGTTTGAATCAAGCTTCACGCCATCAATCAAGATCTCATTGGGTTCTGGGCCTGCATCCCTTTCAGGGACTGGTAATTCAGCATCTTCAGCAGCTGGAACTTCCTCTGCTGGTTCAGCACCCATTGGCCTGTCAGCAGATCCAGATGCTTGCAAGGGAATACCTGAACGTGGTGCTATCACCTCCATACGAGGTCGAGGTACAACATCATCAGATTGCATTGCAAATCCAAGGGCCTCAGGAGGGACAACGCTGGTATGAGCAATGGTGATGACTTCAGTCACTCGCTTGTTGGTGTCAAAGGGTGCCACCATTGTGGAGAGCTCTGAAATGCTTTGGCTGAACTCTTCTAAATCCCAAGTGCCGTCCTCATAGTGAATCAGTGTAGTGCGCAACCAAAGCAAAGAATCATGAGGACAAAGTGTTGTGTCAACACGCTGAGGAGAGATACTTCGCAGGGCGTAGGTGTCCACGCCAATTCGATTCCAACCTGGAGCCAAACCAGAAAGGGTTGAACTCAGTGTCAAAGCTCGTACATGAACATCTGGAGGACTGGAATCTGAAGAAATTGATGTATATCTGAACTGGTCACCATGCGTATCACTCCCATTGCACAAAGTGAGTTTCTTCGAAAATGCACTGGAATACGTTTTGAGTTTCTTGCCAAAAACATGCCATCTGAGTCCCTTTCCAAATACCATCCTTCTTTCAAAAGCCTTCCCATGGAAATCAGTGGTGAAGTCACTGCAGCAATGATGAATCTCTCTTTGAAAATGACAGAACCGAAACGTACTTCTGCAATCCTGGCATCTTTGATACAAATAGGCTTACCTTGTGCACCAACAAATGAAGAACCATCAAATGAAGGGTCTGGCTGGCCAATGTGGCCGTACTCCAACGGCAGCACAGAGCCATCAGCTCCCGAGTCCAGTACCACCTCCACATCTCTTGGCTCAGAAAGGCCATTTGCTCGGATTGAAAATGGATCATCATCTCTTTCACAAACGCCAGAAAAGTTGCAAAGCAATGTCATCTGAAAGCAGTGTCATCTGAAAAATCACAAATGGTCCAGTTACTGTCACTATCTGAATACGACATGTCAAAACATTCGCAGCACTCCATGTATACACCATCGCGTGTCGAGTCCACAGTGTCAAGTCCACCATGCATCTGTGAAACCATGGTGCAACAGCCACTTGAATCATGCATTGTCAGATCACAAATTTCTACATCGTCCAAGTCTTCGATCAAAGGTCCATGCATGTGGTCAAGGCTTGTAAACAAACGCACTGAACTAGCTGCTGCTGTAGAAGGCGGTGAAATGGAAGGGCCACCACCACTGGAAGAAGTTGCAGTGGAAGTTGTGGTCTGCGATTCAACCTGGTTCACCTTCTTGGAGTCTGGCTTCCCATGAAGCTTCCAGCAATCACGCTTGAAATGGCCATAACGACCGCAGTGAAGGCATTGGTCATTCGCAGTTGCAGCTCTCTGAGATGGCTGGGATGACTTCCCTTTACCCTTTTCATTCTTACCTTTACCTTTACCTTTGAAGTTGTTCTTATCTTTGGACTTTCCCTTTGATTTACCCTTCTGTTTTCCCTTTTCAACACGATCTATCTCCATAGGGGCCACGCCATTATTTTTGAGATCCAAAACATTAGCTAAAAAATTGTTTTATTGATTATTTTCTTTTATGATTTTTTATGAATATTTATGATTTTTAGGATATGATTTGAAAAAATGGTGAAAAATGGATATGATTTGTTATGTTTTTTTAAAAAAATATATATGTTTTTTTTATGATTGTTTTATGATTTTGTTTATGATTTTTTATGATTTTTTTGTTTTTTCACTTGTTTTTATGTTTTTTAATGATTTTTTTATGATTCTTTGAAAATGATTTTTTTAATGAAATTTTATGATATTTTTATGAAAATTTATGATTTTTTATGAAAAATATGATTTTTTTGGTTTTTTTTTAAAAAAAAAATGTTTTTTTATTGGTTTTTATATTTTGAAGAATCTTATGATTTTCTTATGATTTTTTCTAATTTTTATATTATTTTTTTAATGTGCTTTAATATGTTTTGATTTTTTTGGTGTTTTTATACGGATTTTTGTGATTTTTAATGATTTGTTATGATTGCTTTATGATTTTTATGAATTGTATGATTTTTGTTTTTTTTGATTTTGTACGTTGTTCATGATTTGTGTTTTGTAATGTTTTTGAATGAGTTTTTTCAATGTTGTTTTTTGTCTTTGTTAATGTTTTTTTAATTGTTCATGTGTTTATTTTTATCTTTAACGTCGCCAGGATTTGGCCAATAATGGTTCTAGGCCCAAAGGCCTGTGGTAAGAAATTTTGTTTGATGTCAAATCCATAGAAACCCAAACGCCATCATGTTCCTAAAAAAACAGTTCAGAGTTTTGTTCATGGGTCCAGCTTTGTGCTGGGCAAGGTGCATCATCAGTTCAAAATTTGTGACCTATCCTAAGGCTAGTTTCTTTTCTCGGTATTCACTTCTTTAATGCCAGCTGCCCGCTAAGTCACAAAGGTCTCAAGCCTGAGGCCTAAAGCCTAGGGCCTCAAGCCTGGAACTTAAGGCCCCAGATCCGAGATTCTAGAGCCTCAAGCCTGAGCCTAAGGCCTCAGGTCCGAGATTCTAGAGCCTCAAGCCTGGAGCCTAAGGCGTCAGGTCCGAGATTCTCTAAGGCCTCAGGTCCGAGATTCTAGAGCCTCAAGCCTGGAACTTAAGGCCTCAGGTCCGAGATTCTAGAGCCTCGAGCCTGGAACTTAAGGCCTCAGGTCGGAGATTCTAGAGCCTCGAGCCTGGAGCCTAAGGCCTCAGGTCGGAGATTCTAGAGCCTCGAGCCTGGAGCCTAAGGCCTCAGGTCGGAGATTCTAGAGCCTTAAGGGTGGAGCCTAAGGCGTCAGGTCCGAGATTCTCTAAGGCGTCAGGTCCGAGATTCTAAAGCCTCAAGCCTGGAACTTAAGGCCTCAGGTCCGAGATTCTAGAGCCTCGAGCCTGGAGCCTAAGGCCTCAGGTCGGAGATTCTAGAGCCTCGAGCCTGGAGCCTAAGGCCTCAGGTCGGAGATTCTAGAGCCTCAAGCCTGGAGCCTGGGACGTTGCTTTCCTGAACCAATCCATAAAAAAATTATAAAAAAAACATAAAAAATCATTTTAAAAAATCATAAAAAAAAATCATTAAAAAAAATAAAAATCATAAAAAAAATCATTAAAAAAATCATAAAAATCACACAAATCATAAAATTGATCATAAAAAAAAACATATGTATTTAGTTTTATGATTTTTTTATGATTTTTTATGTTTTTTTATGATTTTTTTATGATTTTTTTATGATTTTTTTATGAATTTTTATGACCCCTTAAGCGCCCATCTACAGGGTGTCACCCTGCCCCCGGAGCTCCTTAGAGTTTAGGGTTTAGGGTTTAGGGTTTTGGATCCTTGCTGCTGGCCTGAAATCTTGGAACCCTAAAGGTAGTGAAGGTAGTGAAGTGTTTCAATACTGACTTTCCCTGTTTGGCCTAAACATGTTTCCTTCCCAGGTTTTTCATCACACAGCATAGGTTTAGTCAGTTGCCTCCTTACAGCAAATAGTTGCTCAACAAATTTTGTCATAGCAAAAAAAATCAAGTTTACTGCTGCTAACTAGCTGTTAGTTGCTAGCTGCCAGTTGTTGCTTGTTGCTAGCTAGCTGCTTGCTAGCTAAGCTACTCGCAGCTAGTCACTGGTTGTCGTTAGTTGCTAGTTGCTAGTTATTTGTTGCTAGCAACTGGATGCAAGTTACTTGCTGGCCACTAGCCCCGGAAAAAATTGTGACACTGTTCGTTGACCAACTAGCCCCAACATTGGCATCGCCCTGCCCCCCCCCACACACACACACACCACATAATTTGTTTTTTTGTTCGTAAGTCATCACTGACACCTCACTGCCTGCCATCATGCAGCAGTTGGTGCAGTTTGAGATATCTGCAAAATTTGCTGTTCAATTCGTTTTTCGCTCACCAGTGGTCAAAAAACCACCAATCCTAAAGCCAACGCCAAAATAAATTTAAATAAATAAATGCAAAGTCAATGTTTGTTCAATGTTCTCCATGTGTGTGAAATAAAAAAACGTTGTTGTTTGTTTGCTGTTCTCCATGTGTTTGAAATAAAAAAACATGCAAAGTTATTGTTCGCTCAATGTTCTCCAGTCAGTTATTTAGAAAAGAAAAACAAAAAAAAATAAAAAATCAAACACAACATCATAAAAAAGAAAAAGACATAAAAATCATCACAATCATGAAAAAACAAAATAAATTAAATAAAAAAACATAGAAATGTCATATTTCATAAAACACAAAAACAATTTTTTCAAAATCATAAATACAATCATATATATTTCTCATAAAAAAAACATGTTTTTTCATAAAATACAAAAAAAAATAAAAAATCAAAAAAAAACATTAAAAAAAAACAAAAAAACATAAAAAAAAAAATGTTTCAAAAAAACACAAAAAACATTTTAAAAAATCATTAAAAAAAAACATAAAACAAACCGTTTAAAAAAACATTTTTTCATAAAAAAAATCATAAATTTTCATTAAAAAAACATTTTCAAAAAATCAAAAAAATCATAAAAAAAATCAAAAAAAACAAAAAAAACATAAAAAATCATAAACTGTTTTCAGGCCAAAAAAACAAATCATAAATTTCATCATAAAAAAATATATTTTTTCATAAAAAAAATCATAGTTTTTTATAAAAGAAATTAATTTTAAAAACCGATTGTTTAGCTTACTCCCGGATCTCAACATTATTTGAAACAACATTTGAAGACGGGCCTGAGGACAAAATGCCCAGCTCGCTATGGATCTTGCCTGCACTCCAGCTTGTGGTGGTGCGCTCGTAGGAGATCACCATGGTGCGCACTTGGTCATAGGAGGAGGTCTCTGTCATTTGAAGTTGAACTGCTGTTGCAGTGCCTTAGGCAGTGCTCTAACCAGTACAGAAAGCATCACATCATCGGCGATGTCAGTCCCACTGGCTCTGACATATTCAGTTCTAAGTCTTTCAAGGCCAAGCATTTGGTCAAGCAAAGTTCGGTCTTTCATCACAAAGTTGGGCACATTGACAAGTGCAGAGAGAATGGAAATGGCTCGGCTCTTGGTCTTGGGCTGAAACATCTGGCTAAGCTGACGCCAAACCTCAAATCCATTTCTGCGTTCAACTTGTCTGAGCATGCGCAGTGGTTTTCCACGAAGCAAACCAGTGAGTATGCTATATAATTGGCTGCATCTGTCCTGAACTTCTGGGGCTTCTCCATCAACGCTAGGTATAGGGATATCTCCATGCACAGATTCTATCCTATGCAGGTCACCCTCGAAGTGCTTGTTGCCATAGAAAAGCCAAGCGCGGAAATTCACATTGAAATCCTGCCATCGTCCTAAGTCCTCTTCATGAACTTCAGATCCAAAAGGCTCTGGTTGACGGATTACCTTGGAGGCCTCTTTGAAACCATCATTGAGTCCAGTTCGAGCAGCTTGTTGGTCCTTTAAGGCTATCAAAGCTTGACTGGCTGCCTTCGCAGCGTCCGTTGCAGCTTGCACCAACTGTGCAACATCGTCAGCACTAAGGGATGCCATACGTCCAACGCTAGGCTAACACTCTAAGCTATATCTAAAAGGATGCCCTCACCAGCTATTGCTGGGTCATCGGGCTCCGCTACCATGCTGATTTTGCTCGATCAAGAAACGCCTCAAAGTATATGTCTTTGCACATGAACTGCCAAGCTGCCAAAGGTTTCAATGGCTATGCTATGCAACACCAAACTGACAGCAAGTACATGTATGTATTGACACATGTATGTATGGGTAAACTTTGTTCAGATGGGCTCTCCCCATCATCTGAAATATCATTCATGCTCCGAGTCATTTGACTTGCTGCAAGTCTGACACCTGGATCCTCAGAGCGGCAGCCCTGCATCTTTTTTTGTGGTCGGCGCCCGTTGCCTTTCGGCGGGTCGCACTTGAGACTCCCGAGTGGACCAGCAGGGATTCGAACCACCACCGGCAGTCTGTCAGCGCTGGCAAGACCAACGCCATACCAAAGAGCGGCAGCCCTGCATCGCTCCTCTCAAAACAGCCATCCTTTCAGCATAACGTCTCCTGTGCTGGTCGGTGGTTGCATTGTCATGCCTCGTGGCACAACGTCCGTACTTCATGTAATCATGGCCTCAGGTGACCAAGAGTCTCCAGGGATAGGAGTGCTCCTTGCTGTCGACTGGATCTGCAGCTATTGAAACATCGTGGGCCACATCCTCGGTCATGGTTTCGGCTGTATCAGCCTCCATCATCACATCCATAGCTGTATCTTTTTTTCCTCGAGTATGGCCGATGTCGCACTGTGGCTCGGTCCTTACATGAGCATAATCACATCCAAGCAATGTGAACACGAGGGGCAACATCATCACTAAACCAAGAATTGCAGTGAAGATGAAAAGGTTCCGTTTCACAACCCTGCGCGTGTTGTGCCATTCGATTGGAGCACCATTCGATCAGTGCTCAAGTTTTCACTTCCACACATATCACGTGGAATTGCAAAGAGTTTTACAAAGGTGCTTGTCTGGCACCTGAAAATTGTTTCCAACGAATCTATCAAGTTGGCTCGTTCTTTCCCCCTAATGATAGATGGAATCCATGGCTAGACAGAAGAAGAAAACAGAGAAAGATCTGCCCATATCAACTCCACCATAGACAGCTCTGGGTGGCAGTAATCTTCCTGAACTTTGTGGCGAATGAGCCTTCCAAATAGAATGTATTGGGCATAGTTACATACCCAAGTAGGTGCAAACAGTTCAGTTAAAAGTTTGTGAAACCTTGGTGCCAACATTTTATTGCAGCAGTTTCAGTTTAAAAGTTTCAAGTCAGTTCGAAGTTCAAAGTCAGATAAATATTCAGACTTTTTTTTCCCTCGGGTTTGGCCGATGTCGCACTGTGGCTCGGTCCTAACATGAGTATAAGCAGCTAAAAACGAATTTGCACACGGACCCAGAAGGCCCAGAAGTGCGGGCAAATCACAACGAACCAAAACAAAAAACACAAACAAACACGAAAAGACGACCCGCAAATCCCCCAGCCAGATTTGCGTTTCGTCAAAGCGAAAAACAGCAAACCAGACACAGAAAAGGGGCCGGAGCCCAAACAACACCCACCAACAAGATTTGCCAGAGGACACAGTGGTTTGACCACTGTATTTTTTTTCCGTCCAACGCCTTCATGGCTTCCGCCAGGTCGTTCAACATGTTTTATTGCATGTTGCAAATTGGGATTAATTGATTAATTATGTCATGCGTAGGCCGTCTGCGGTAGAGTGGCCTCAAAAGTGAACTGGTGAAGGACCGATACATAGTCCTGTGTACTGTCACATGTCATCAACAAAACGCAAACCGAAACAACACAAACCAAGACACCAAAAACCAACAAAACACAAAAACACAAAAACACACAAACCCAAAACAAACAAACCAAAAAACACCCCACACAACCAAAACAGTGACGTGACAGGTACCAGTTCATGGGTGAAACGGCTAATTTTGCAACAGGTGATAACTGTATCATCTCAGTTCATGCATGATGACAGCTTGTGTGCCATGATAATAATGGCCCCAAAAGAAACCAAAACAAAGAGACACGCCAAGAACACCAGGGGCCAATTCAGTGGGTGTAAGAAGCAACAAAGCTCAATGCCGAAACCAGGGATCCCCCCAGCCAGGATCCCCGAGATCACAAAGAGCAGCCATCCAGGCATGACATTCACCTGACACTTTGAAGCAAACACCGACAACGCCGGGTCGCAACGAAAGTGGTGAGAAGAACTAGCGCGGTGAAACAGGAGGGTGAGACATGGTCTAGTGTGAAAATGACAGCAAAAGCTACGGCACTCAGGGCGCACTCAGAGTCCGCTCAGTAGTTCTTTTTCTAGCATCAGCATCAGCAGAATTGCGGTTTGCGGTAAGTGCCACTGCACTAGTGCTCTTGCAAATAGTCTTCATGGTATGGGAGATTGTGCTCGTCATCAGTGCGTGGTGATATCTGCGCATTGAGCTCTTCCGATGACGTGCTAGCTCCTTTAGCTGTATGATCCAGAAGCAGTATGGCTTTCTGCGCTTGGGTTACTTCGTAGCTGGCAGAGATTGTACAACTATCTAATATACAGCCAATCTGGCGGAGTTGGCGTATGGCAGCTTCAAGGTCAGTGAGCCTCTGGGATGGGATATTTTGGATGCCTTGAAGCTTCTGACATGCCTTGTCCAGCAGTTTGGTGGCATCTTCTACTTCACTGGTAGTGACCTGAGACAGGGTCAGTTGAGTAATTGACTTTGCAAGGCGATGGACAGCGGCATCTTTCATAGAGTCGGTCGTTCCATACCACAATGCTAAGCTGTACGCAGGGTCTTCTGTAGGCTTAGGGCAGCTGAGCGGTCCATCCATCAATCGCAGTGCAGTCAACTCATCGGAGCAAAGGCATGGGGACGTCCGTTTGGAAGTCATATATGGCCGGTCAGTATGTTGGTTGAAGTAATGTCAACGGCAACGGGTTCCATGGCTTGATGTACTTTGACATCGTCCTACGCTACCAAAAAACAAAAAACCATACGTTGACTAACGGCCCCTTAAAAATGTTATTATAATCACCCCCCCTTCCTCCCTTCCCCTACTTACACTGGCAAGCTTACCACAGCATCAGCTACGATGGGTAGTGGTCAACCATGGGTACCCCATGGTGACAGCATCACTCAACAAAGGTCAGAACAATGGCTAAATGTCATGCGTGGACCGTGGGCACCCCACGTTGGCCGCATGAGACTACTGGAATTGCACGGGCTGACTGGCGCTGGGGCGTTCGTGGCTGCTGGTGCCACTCGTGCTATGTGCAGGGGGTGGGTCACCGCTTCCTGCCGGCCTCATCATTTGGGCGATGAGTGGGTGGCTCTGCTTGGCGAGCAAAATCTTAGTCATTTCGCGAGTGAAGGCTGCAGGGTCGTCCACTAGCGCCTTAGCTTCAGCCAGTGACCGATCAAGGACAATGGCAATGAGCATTTCGCCGCCGTCTTTCTCGTTCGATACCCTGATCTCTGCAGATTCATCAACGACATGTGGGAACTGGGAAGTTTTGCCTCCGGTGGACTTCCGGACCGACCACCAGGGTTTCAATTCGTACTTTGGGACACCAATGCTAGAATTAATGGACTAGCAGCGACTGACTTGGAAACGCTCGTGTCAGAGGTACTTTCTCCTTTCCCCAAAAATGCTGGGTTTGCCGATGGGCTTTTCGTAATGACCACTGCAACAGACCACAAGAATAACTTGAACCGTTCAGTGCTTAAGAAGGATTATGCCCGCACTCTGCGCGTAGAAACAATAGCCAACTCAGCAGGAGGAACAGCACAGGTATCAATCGTGGCCCAGCCAAGTATCGGATTCCTAAATCCTTGGCCCTTTTGGTATCCCCCTTAGATATGATGGGGCTCATGGGCATGGCCCAAGTGGTTGCAACCATAGCATATGGCATCCGGGGCCTTCGAAGAGGAGAGACGACATGGGGCTGGCCCGACTTCGATGCCGACCCTGAACAGGAGAATCTTGCACAGATAAGTAGATGGTCATTGAATTCTGCGCCTGCATGGGAATTCCCTCCCCTTGCAATCGCCAATCAATACCAGGATCCTTTTTTTCCGTCCAACGCCTTCATGGCTTCCGCCAGGTCGTTCAAGCCAATCAATACCAGGATCCACAAACGAACGAAATAAAGCGGGCAAGATACCGTCTCATATTGGTTAGAGGGTCAGATCTTCGCTGGCTGAACAGAGATCGCCTCCAAGAAGTCAAAACAGGCCTAGCAGCTCAACATAAATGGATCCCTGTTCAGAATCTCCCGTTCCCCGAAGTTGTCCTGTATGCCTACGCGGCTGATCGCACACCTTTTCCCACATATGTGTGCCTGCCTTCAGGGCTGTACAAGGCGCGCACCGGACAAGTAGTAGCGCAGACCGGCCCGGAACAGGAAATCCTGTCTTTGCCAGGTATCTACTTCTTTGATGGATGGCGGGTACACCCAACGTTGCCAATCCCTGACCACCTGCCACGCACCAAAGAGGCGCCAGTCCAAGGTATCGCTCTGACTGCACCGGCACCTGGTACAGAACCTACTCGGTCGCCGGAAGAAGAAGCAAGAGACATCCTTGCGACAGCTGCTAAGAATCAGCCCGAGGATGGGCCGAACACAAGGAGAGCAGCAGTCCGCGCGTGCAAGTACTTAAGGGCTATGGTCAACCAATATGAGTCCACCATACAAGAAGTGCATAAGGCAGCCCGCACCCACACACAAAGAAGCAAAGGCGCAGCAGGGCCAACGGTGGACTATCGGCCGCAAGGGGAAGCTCTTCCAGTTATATCCCTGAACTAACTTCAGAGTTACTGCATTGCCTGTCCACGCTACCAGACCCCTGGCCCCTGGCTAAGATCACGATTGATATGGAGGAGCCGAGCCAGTGGGTTTCCAAATTGTGCCGACTCTACTTTGCTGATGAATATGCCAGACGAACAGTCGGAATGCCCTCACCTACACACACCCCAGACAGTGA